TAACAATGAGAGCAGAAATCTTGCAACTTCTAGAAGAAAACATATGGTCAATATTCCCTCATATCTGTTCTGGCACTGACTTCCTTAATAAGACCTCTTAAAAGTCAAGAAACAAAATCAAGAATCAATAAATGGGATGCCATCAAATTAAAAAGCTTCTGCACAGCAAAGGAAATGATTAGGTGTATGAAGTATGACCATACTGAATGGGAGAGAATCTTTTCCAGCTGCTCCTCTGACATGGAAATATCTAAAATATATAAAAAATAAAACTCAAATAGGCTAACACCCCCAACCACCCCAAAATAACCCATTGAATACAGGGCAAAAGACCTAAACAGATATTTATCAAAAGAAACATAAATGGTCAAAAATACATGGAAAAAAAGTTCAACAGCTCTAGCAATCAGGGAAATTTAAACCCAAACTATTACAAGATTTCATCTCATTCCATTCAGAATGGCAATTGCTAAATTAGAACAAATTATACTCCATGCTTTCATAATTATGTCAAAATGGATTCTACTGTTATGTATAATTAAAAAGAATTAATAAAAAAAGAGTACAAATAATAATAGATGCTGGCAAAGATGTGGAGGAATAGGTACCACTCACACATTGTTGGTGGGACTGCATATAATTACAACCACTCTGGAAGGCACTATGGAAATTCCTCATAAAACTAAGAATAGGATAGCTATATGATCCAGTGATCACACTCCTTGGCATTTATACAAAATAACTAAAATCATCATTCTATAGTGATATAGCCACACTAAGGTTTATAGCAGCACAATTCACAATAGCCAAATTATGAGACTAGTCCAACTGCTCTTTAATAGATAAATAGATTAAGAGAAGGTGATATATATACACAATGAGGTTTTGCTCGCCAAAAAGAATTAAAAAATATGGCATTTGGAGGCAAAAGGATGAAAACGGAGAATATCATGCAAAGAGAAATAAGACTCAGAAATCAACTGAATGTTTTCTCTCATGTGGAAACTAGAGCAAATTAAGGGAAAAGAACGGAGGGGGGGGGTCAGATATCATAAATACAGAGAAACAATATCAGTGGAGTATAAGAAAGAGATTGTGGGGGAGGGAGAAGGGTTGGGAAAGTAGAGGATATGCAGAATGAATTCAACAAAATTATGCTATGTGCATGTATAAATATGCCACAGTGAATTTCACCTTTATGAGTATCTATAATAAACCAATTACAAATAAAGATTAGAAGGAAGATAGAGAAGGGGAATGAGGGGTGTGGGGGGAAGAAGAAGTACCAGAGACTGAAATGGAGCAAATTAAATTCCATACACATCTGATTATATCATATTATTACATGTAACTATAATCCACTAATATAAGCATTTTAAAGACAAATAGAAAACAACCAGCCCTGTCTCACGCATTTCTTCCCCCCATCCTGACAATTGAATTCTTAAGATGAAGAACTGTTGGTGGGACTATAAAGTATTAAAACCAAAGTTCAAAAGTATTTTGATGGATTCACATGTTATAATAAATATGTTTGACATTTAAAAATAATTGTTGCATAAATATAATTCATTAATTTTCATTTCCATAAAATTCAATTGAATTTATGTAATACAGTCTATATAAGCTAATGAAAATTGAATTTTTGGGGGGAGGATTTTTATCATACTGCTAGTGTAAATAGAGCTCTTATCCTTCAGTGAATATTTGTTTCCCATTTTGTTAGTTATATGCCTAGGTTTGAAACTGTATTAGTCAGATTTTTCACTTCTGGGACTAAAAGATCTGAATAAAACAATTTTAGGGGAAAAGTTTTAATTAGGGGCTCATGGTTTCAGAGGTCTCAGTATATAGATAGCTAATTCCATTTCTCAGGGCTCAAAGTGAGGCTGGACACCAATGGCAGAAGAGTGTGATGGAGGGGAGCAGCTCACGTAATGATCAGAAAGAAGAGAGATCTCCACTTGACCAACATAAACATATACCCCAAAGCCATGCCCTCAATGCCCCACCTTCTCCAGCCACACTCTACCTGAATTCAGTTACCACTCAATGAATCCCATCAGGTAATTGATTCACTGATTGGGTTAAGGCTCTCATTAGCAAATCATTTCTGCCCTAAACCTTCTTGCCTAAGAGGCCATGAATAGAATGTTGTCTCACACATGGGCTTTTGGGGGACACCTCACATCCAAATCATAACAGAAATCTTTAGGTTGTAGAGTATTCATATGTATGTATGTTAAAACAAAGTAAATAAGGCTGATAATTTTATAAAATAAATACACCAATTTACTCTCTATGTAGCAGATTATATAAGTTCTTGTTACCCAATATTTTTGCCACCACTACCAATATTACTAATGTGGTTGTGCAAGACACATGTACAATCATATACTGCTTAACAAAATGGATATATTTTGAGAAATGTGTTATTAGGCCATTTTTGTCCTTGTGTGAATATCACAGAGTATACTTACACAAACTAAGATGGCTACAATGTCATTTGGTGTTATTCTCTTGTGGGACCACTGCTGTGGTCTTTCATTAGCTGAAATATCATTATGTGTTACATTGCAGTATGTGTATTTTATATGTGTTATTTTATTTTTGCCATTTGCATATCTTCTTTTGTGACATGTTTGTTCAAATTTCTTCTGCAATTTTTCCATTTAATTCTTTTTCTTCTTGATAATTTATGAGCTTTAAATGGGACTCAGAGGGAGGTAAAAGACAGTAGGGAAAGCTTCAATATTCCTAGTGCTTTCCTAAGAGGCCATGAACAGAATGTTGATAGAAATACAGATAGCAAAGGCTACTCTGAGGAAATCTCTGGTGGAAATATGTTAAGGAAAATGCAAAAAATGGGCCAAAGAATAACCATATATTCTTATATTAAATATGTATTAAAATGGATATCAGGCCTGAAAATGAGTAGACAAAAATGCAGGCTTTATAAGTGACCATCTTATTGCTTTATTTGCAGACATAAATGAAATTTCAACTATTTCTTATAAATGCCTATATTAAAGGAAAGCAAAACTTTATCTCAATCAATCAGAAACAATCATCAAATTTATAATTATTTAAAGTTTTTCCCATAGGATAAACTAATAAGGCATTGTGTAACTGTAACCTATGAAATATTTTCTTTGTTTTAATTTTATATCCATTTTATAAAAGTCTCCTCTTTGTGTTCTTTTAGAGGAGCTCCTAAACCACTTCTGGTTTGGAGCAAAGCCCATTTCATGATTTGTTTGCTCAAATAAACTCTCTAAAATCTTTACTGTGCTTCAGTTTACCTTTCCTAACAATAAGCTGTCCCAAAGTCCTTTCCACCTCTTTCCCCTCCCCCAATTGGCTGTTGTAGTCAGCTTTCCTATCAAAGACTTTTCCAATGAAGAAGCAAATACCTAATATATATGTGCACGTACATCTGTCATAAATGTACCTTCTAATAGTAAACTCCAGTAACACAGGATAGATTTTTTTTTAAGTACTTTCTCTTACTGAAGACTTCAAGTTTGTTTGGAGATCCACTAGACTTAGCTTTGAAAATACAGAGAACCAAATATACAAAGAAATGTATTTTTAAAATGTTGATGCCAAATTAGCAGAAAAAAGAGGTATTTGAAAAATGGTATTAATATAATTCTTATCATCAGAAAAAATATAGCTTAATCCTTATTTCATACTTTATATTTAAATGAATTATAGATAGATTAAATATTTAATATTTAATAGAAACAATATATTAGTGAGAACATAATTTTTATTATCATAAAGGAAGGCCTAATCCAGAGACATAAAAATAAGAAATAGTATCACAAAAAGTTACCCATGTGAAAACATCATCCTAAACAAAGTCTTACAGCAAACAAAAGCAGAAAAAAAGTCTTTTCAAATTACATGACAAAGGTAGGTAATACCCCTAATATATTAATAGCTTTTACAAATCTTTACAAGAAAGGTCAACAATTCTGCAGGAAAATGGACAAAGAATAGAAATGTCACAGTACATAAAAGCTGTTCAATTTCACTGAAGACACAAGAAAATTCTACTAGTATAATGGCACAATTTTTACTGAACAAATTGACAGGTATCAAAAGTTTGATTAACACTATTGTTAGAAAGGTTGTGGGAAAACAAGCATTCTCAAACAGTGCTGGTGGGAGTATAGTTTGATGCAATCTTTGCGGAGGGCTATGACCTAGGAATAAGGAATTAAAGTAGACTTTTAACAGAATAAAATCCAAAGATCTGATATCTGGTTGGATTATGCAGTTCTCAGCCTTTCTTCTAATGTAGATCTCCAGAAGAAATGTAAAGACTTTCTGGAGGGTGATAACATCATTTGAGTTTCTAAACCCAAATTATAATGTGCATGTCTCAATTAAAAAATACATATTTAAAAAAAATCTGGCACATATGAATACAATATAATGTACCATAAACCAAGATAATACTTATAATTATCAAAGATGGAGCTATCAAACACATATTTAAAGTAACTACATTCAACATGTTCAAAGAAGTAAACAAGAGAGGCAATTTAGGAAAAGAACTGAAAGCTTTAAAAGACCCAAATGGATAGTCTAAAACAGAAAAATAAAATAATTGAAATTAAACTTCATGGTGGATCTACCATCATATTAGTTGGAGAGAGAATTAGTGATCTCTAAAAGCCAAGTCAAAAGAAAAGGAAATCCAAGGAGAGAAGATACATAAAATATAAAATCAACCAAACAAAAAAGTACAATTGTAGTATCACCCTAACAACCTTCTAATAATATCAGAAGTGGGCACACTACCTCAAGTTTGACATCAAAAAAGAATAAATATTTTAAGTTTGAATTATTATTTTCTCATCCTACATTCAATCTAATGAAAATGAGGGTAGGGATTCTAATTTTAAAGACCTCACTTAAATATTTTAAAAGAAACATGTAAAATGTAAAAATTAAATAATACTAATCAGAAAGAAAGTTTAATTACTTACATTCCATATGCTGAGTTTACAGCAAGACTAGTAATCTGTTGAGGAGGCTCACCATCTACCCACACCAACTGAATAACAAGTTCTGCTTGATATCCTGGAGGCATTCGAACTGGTCGTGTCTTAACGCTATATGAAAGAGAAAAAAATAATTCTATCACATACAGTTTAAGTAAGCATACCCATGTTTATCTTGAGAATTTAACTGAATCATCCTACAGAAATATTTAATTATAGCCACTGGGCACATCATGAATATGGTCATTATTTTCTAACTTTCTAAAACTCTACCAAGTCTCTTATGATTGCTAGTCACTTCTTTAACACATTTTGTTCCATTGTCCCAGATGTGGAACGACTATAAAAAAAAACAAACCAATACTGGAATAGTAAATACTGAAATAATTATGTTTTTAGAGGTCTAGTCCCTTGAGAAAAATAATAGATGAAAGACTGGAGCATTGGAAAAAAATATACTTCAAATATATTTTAAAAGAACATATATAAAGAACTTCAACTCTAGATTATGATTTTCAACCTATTTTAATGCAGCTATATCAATTGTCTTGAAATATTTGCAAATTTCAACACTTGGAACTTAATGGTTAACCTTATGCTCAGTCAGGCACACACTTTAACTGTTCTTTATCACTTCCTTTTAATTATTTTATCATATAATTATTTTCTATGTAATAATTGTTACACATGTAAATTGTAAAGTATAATAATAAAAAGAATGACCATTAAACTACCACCCAACAAATGTTTTAATCATCCAGTACCTGAATTCCTGCTCTTTTCCTCTAAACCTACACTCCCTAATTCAATTGATAGTAATTTTATTAAAATTATTCACTAATATTCCTCTTTTATACTTAACACCCAATCAATTATCAAATGCTACTGATGCTACCTTCAAAATGTATCTAGAACCTGATAACATTTTTTGGGGGGCAGGGTACTGGTAATTGAACTCAGGGGCACTCGACCATTGAACCATATCCCTAGCCTTATTTTGTATTTTATTTTGGGACAAGGTCTCACTGAGTTGCTTAGTGCCTTGATGTTGCTGAGGCTGGCTTTGAACTCAAGATTCTCTGGTCTCAGCCTCCGGAGCCACTGGGTTTACAGGCATGCACCACCACACCTGGCAGAACCTGATAACTTTTTATTCTTCAATTGCTTCCATACTATTACAGCTGCTAAACAAATATACAGGATGTTTATTTAAATTTAAATTTCAAATAAACAATAAATAGCTTTTTACAAGTATGTCCATTGCAACATTGAGGATTGTTATGGTTTAGATATGAGATGTTCCCCAAAAGCTCATGTGTGAGACAATGCAAAACAGTTTAGAGGTGAAATGATTGGGTGATGAGAGCTTTAACCTAATCAATAATTCAATCCCCTGATAGGGATTAAACTGGGTGGTAATTGTAGGAAAGTAGGGTAAGGCTGGAGGAGACAGGTCATTGGGGGTATATCTTTTAGTTGTCAATGGATCTTTTACTTTATTTATTTATATTCAGTGCTGACGATGAACCCAGGGCCTCACATGCCAGTAAGTGCTCTGCCACTGAGCCACAACTCCAGCTCTGGTGGTATATCTTTGTAATGTAAATTTGTCCTTGGTGAAGGGAGTTTCTCTCTCTGCTTCCTGATACCATGTCTCCAGTTGCTTTCCTCTACCATACACTTCTGCCATGATATTCTGCCTCACCTCAGGCTTCAAAGAATAAAGTTGGCCATCTATGGACTGAAATCTCAAAAACCATGAGCCCTAAAATAAACTCTTCCTTCTCTAATTGTTCTTGTAAGATCTTTTGGTCACGGCAGTGAAAAACTGACTAAAACAGGGATATAGTGATACCAAAAAATACTTATTATCTAGCCAGCATTTTATTTGTTAAATAGGTCAGCCTTTAACTTTCTCTCTCTCTCTCTCTCTCTCTCTCTCTCTCTCTCTCTCTCTCTCTCTCTCTCTCTTTCCTTTTGGTACTGGGGATTGAACTCAGGGGCACTCAACCACTGAGCCATATGCCCATCCCTATTTTGTATTTTATTTAGAGATAGCAATCACTAAATTGCTTAGCATCTGGATTTTGCTGAGGCTGGCTTTGAACTTGCAATCCTCCTGCCTCAGCCTCCTAAGCAACTGGGATTACAGGCATTTGCCACCACACCTGTCTAACTTTATTTCTAATTAGTTTAGAGCAACAGTCATCAAACTAATCTCATAGCTTTTACCATTCCCTCCATCTCCCAATCCACTTTAATACAGTTATAAAAATTATCTATTTAATATTTAAACCTGATCACGTCAGTCAAAAACTACAAAGACTCTTATTCTCCATTTAGAATAAAAGTCAAGTTCCTAAAATGGCCTATGATTGGCCAATCTGACTTCGTCTCCTACTACCTGCCCTTTCCCATACCCCTAACTACACGGACCTCTTTACTTTTCCTTGAACACGCCAAGCACTTTAAGGCCTTTACTCTAGCTGTTTTTTTCTGCCTGTAACATTCTTTGTCCATATATTCTTTGGCTAATTCCCTCACTTCAAGTTTTTCTTTAAATCTCACCCTCTTAACAAGACATATGTGACTAGAGTCACATATAGAGTAACATAGGCAAAATTTTTTTAAAAATCAAATTATTGCATAAACATGAATATATTGATAAGAATTGTAATATTGCTAAAAATTAAGAGTTGATGATTGAAATACTTTTTAATTAGCTAATATATACGGCAGACTAAATTCAGCAAAGGAAAGGGACTTAGGGATGAACGCCAATGTACACTGTAACAAAGTGTGGATTATATACAATTTATAAACCCACTCAGAATGAAATTCACTTAATAATACTACTTGCATCAGTTATGCTTCATGGTTCTTAGACCCTAAGCACAACATAGGATTATGCTAATTTTCCCACTTCGATTCTCTTTATTATCCTTAAGATTTTCTTTACTATTTTACAAATCAATCCTCTATTACACTTCAACAATTGTTATTGCTCATATCATCTCCACTATGTTTGTTGATTTCATTGGTTTTAGTCTCTCATCAACATTTGAAAAAATTATTTAACTTTAAAGAAAAAAGGTTTTGGAAATTAAGACTCATGCTTTCATGAAAATCTTCTAATTTAACAAATAGATCTACAGTGCTTTCTTGTACTTTTGTGTTTTCTTTCCAGTTTTAATTTTAAAAGAAATCAAATAAGCAAAGTGATATAAAGGGAAAATTAAATATATAAATTCATAACATTATGAAAGTTTTTTGTCCCCCCACTCATTAGATTTTTTTTTAACTTCATAAGAAAAACTTGGGAGAAAAATTAAGAATTACCACTATAGAGTTTGTTCCTAAAATCTTATCTCTAAATTTTCTGTTTTCATAAGAAATGAGGAAACTAGCTATCTAAAGTTTTTCAATGAAAGGACGTGTATATTTTCATATTGGGCTTAGAGAAATTCCTTATTTTGGCTTAATTCTTCATTCAATTAACACTAGAAACATTTGTTTTGACAGTAGAGAAACAGTAATACTTAAGTCATGGGATACTGTCCTTTATGATTCCTTTATACCTGTAATACTTTATACCTTATACTAAAAAGTGCAACAATTAAGATAAATATTATTGTAGGATTTATTAACTAGGTTTTATTTGATAATGACGCTAAATTTTGTTAAAATATATTGAATAATAGCAACAGTTATAGAAAAGAAATATTATATAATATGGTAGCAATCATGAGAGACATTTTATAATACATTTTCTAAGAGTAATAGTAAGCTTGGTTTTCTTTTTATTCTAGGAAGGTTAAAAAAAAAATCATAAACTTATTTTTGCAACTGAAAAGTACCAAGCAAGTGTCCAATTTTTGCCATGCCAAACTTCCTATTCCACCAAAGCCATGTTTTCTTTAGAATCTTTCTGGTATATACAGAAATGTATAAATAAGTAAATGAAGAATGAAAATACTGTGCCCTTTTCATGGATGTAAAAGAAGAGACCAGGGTACCCTTTGGTGGATTGAAAATCTCTTGGCAAAAACTTGAGAGAGAACAGTGAATTTATTTGCCACAGTTTTCAAGAATTATATGATTTATATGTAAAGTACTGTTAAAATTAAAATTTTTAAACCCTTACAATTTAAAACTCTTACTTGAGGCATGGGATACTGTCCTTTGTGACTCCTTCGCTAGCCACGGTGTTAGTGCTCCCTGAAAGACTCCTTGAAGGAGGAAGCTGGGTTGAGAGATCTGGAAATGGAGGACTTGTTTCTGGTTCAGGAGTAATAATATCTTCCACATCATACTGAAGTCGTACCTCTAATGACTTAATAAAAATCAAGTTTTAGTTTAACCTACATCATAATAATAATCACATTAATATATTTGATAGCTGTTAGTAATAATTTACTATTTTTCAGATTAATATGTTCAATTTCAACTTACAGTAAAGTTGACAGGTATCTCAAACTGAATTAAGTAGTGAATTATACAGAAAATTCAATGACAGTCTCGGAAAAGTAATTTTTATTCTCCAGAATTATAAGAAAAATACCCTGCCAGTGGAGATAAAGTTTTTCTATAATAAATATTTCTTAAGATAAACTATAAACTGCATTTCAATATATGACATAATATATAAGAAAGTCCAATGATTAGTCCAATGAAAGAAATTAAACTGTATGTACATTTGTGTGTATGGGTTCATATTATTTGTACAAAACTTTTAGTTTAAAAAACTTTCCTTTCATTTTGTCTCTAATTCAGTAAAAGTTTTCCAAAAGAAATTCCACATTTTTTAAAAAAATTTAAACATTTATTTATTTATTTCGTACCAACATGACAATAGTGGAGTGCATTACGTTCATAATTTTTTTTGCATTACAACTCTTAATACACCTTTATACCACAATTTATCAAATCTCTGTTTGTATATAAGGTATGTTGACACCAAATTCACATCTTCATACATGAATTTCCACTATCCTTGCTATTCCCCTTCTCTCTCCCTTTCCCTCCCACCCCTATTCCACATTTTTTATATTTGTTTCATTACTATAGCTTTTACTTGTTTAATTTCATTAGCTTGATCACAATTACATAATGATGATTTTTATAGGTAATCAAAAAACCTTTTTAAAAACTAAATTATTTTAAAATAGTACTTATGATTGCATTAAATGCTTTAATTAAAACTGATATTAAGGGTTAGAGATGAAGCTTAGTGGTAGAGTGTTTGCCTAGTAAGTATGAGACCCTGGTATGATCCCTAGCACTTCAAAAAAATAACAATTGATTTTATAACAAATATATAATGTTAAAATGTATATTCTTGAGATTGAAAACACAAAAATGATAATATGGGGTATGATAATGATAATATAGCAATCATACTAAGGTGACTGTTAATATCGTAAACTACAAAAAACTCAATAGTGATGAAAATAATAATTATCGATTATTGAGTACTTAAATGCTACTAATATTTTTATATAATCATCATATATGAAATTGCTATTAGTACTTCCAGTTCATTTTTATTTTCCATTTTATTTACACAGAAAATTATGTAGGAAATAAAAGTGAATTGTACTCAGACTCTAGTACTGCCTACAGCCTTGTAAGTGGCAGCGACACATAGGCATTCAATGGTAAAGCTAGAAGTAAAACATAGGTATGTATGATTTAAAGCTCAGGATTTTAATATAATATTAAAAAGTGATATTAATTTTAGTTATTGAGTAGAATACTTATACTTAGAGTAAATAAATCTTCATTTTCTGGTAAAATGATAAAGCAGTAGACTAGGTCTATTATCTAGAGGTATCTTAAATTAGATTTAATTTATCTCATCAGAGCCTCATAATCTCAAATAACTACAATATTTCATTGGTTTAAAAATACCCCAACAAGACTCTGAAAGTTCAAGAAGAAAGACCAAAACTCAATAAACAGAATGGTATCAAACTAAAAAGCTTCTTCACACATGGAAGCAATCAAGAGCCTGTAGAGAGCCTACAGAATGGCAGAAAATCTGTGCCGCTTGCTCCTCAGATAGAGCATTAATATCCAGGTTATACCAAATAACCCAATCAATAAATGGGCAAAGGAACTAAACAGACACTTCTGAAAAGAACAAATATATGTAGATATGTTCAACATCTATAGCAATTTGAGAAATACAAATTAAAACCATACTGGGATTCCATCTCACTCTAGTCAGAATGGCAATTATACAAGTAACAAGAATACAAGTAACAATAAATGTTGGTGAGGATGTGGGGAAAAGGGTACACTTATATATTGCTTATGAGACTGCAAACTAGTGTAATACTTTGGAAAGCAGTATGGAGATTCCACAGAAAACTTGGAATGGAACCACCATTTGACCCAGTTATCTCACTCCTTGGGTATACCCAAAGAATTTAAAATCAGCATACTACATTTTATATATTTATAACAGTAATTAGAGAAATCATTGAGGAAAATGAGAACCATATGATTTTTAATAGCAAGATTAGCTTAAAATACTAAGCTCATTTTGACACAGAAAGAAAGTAATTAAGTTTTGATAGAGAACTGTTCTGTAATTTTAAACTAAGCCATGTTATATTAAGTAATAAAATTCTGAATTCTGAATTACATTATGAATTATATTAGTGGTCACATGCTATACACACTTTTAAAAATATTTATTTTTTAGTTGTAGTTGGACACAATATCTTCATTTTATTTATTTACTTTTATGTGGTGCTGAGGAATAAACCTAGGGCCTCGTACATGCTAGGCGAGCACTCTATGGCTGAGCCATGACCCTAGCCCCACATACTATACACTCTTGATGGCTTAAAACCATACCAAGAAGTAGCCCAAATCTGATAATTGCTTTCTTTTAACAAGTGCAAGTGCAAAAGTTAAACTTTAAATAATAACTTACCACTATTTCTGTTGTAATTTCATGTCTGCTGAATTTATAAATTATGACATAGGCAGAGACTCCTGATACACAAAATATTCTGCTCTCTGGACACCAGTAAATCATCTGAATGGCATATGGATCTTCCTCTACAATTTCACATGTTTGTTTGCCTTCTCCTGCCTTCTGTTTTTCAAAGACTTTTGAAGTTTTTAGCTTGTACAACATCTGCAGAGTTACTGCAAGACATTGAAACACAGTTACTTTCTAATTAGGATATTGTTAAAGCTTATTCAATATTTATTAGACCATAAAAAACCCAAGTAAGGAAAATTACATTACATTCCATGTAATGATCTCATATCACTATAGTACTGGGAAGGAGACCATGGGGGAAGGGGGAACATTCTTTGAGCATCACCATCTATCAAGCAATATGTATTTGCCAAGAAAAGTCCTAACGACATAGGTATTTTTTATCCTTATTGACTGAAAGTGTGGTAAAGAAATTTTACATGGAAATACTGAATATAATTCTCTCCTACAGGAGATTCCTCAATCTTTTTTCATAATATTCCCTTTTGATTGCTAGATAAATGATTGATGCTACCCCAAAGTGTTTTCTGCACTTGCACTCAAAAAAAAAAAAAAAAGTTACTTCTGCTGGATGAGAAACACTGTAATTTACCAGCCAGCAATATCTGGAAATCAAAGAATCTGTAATTATTTTAAGAAAGAGTTCTTCTGAATGACTCTGCATCAAAAAAAGGTTAAAATATTATCTCATAAGCTTTGGATTTGGGAATTGTTTTCAATAATATTTTGGGGGAAATATTTTTCCATTTGAGAACATGATAACAATCCATCTGAAGTTACAATTGTTTTCTGACAAAAATCTCAAAAAAAAAAAAATCAAGAATTCTTGCCCAAAGTGCACAATCTAAATTTAATCATCAGAAGCATTAGTCAAAACAAAATTGAAGGTGATTCTTCTTTTGTAACTGTCCTGAATTAAAAAATATCAATGCCATGAAATAGATTCAATATATATTGATAAATACTATCCTAACTAAATACTAAATAACTAAATACTATCCTAGAATTTCTTTTTTTATAAAGGATATTATTTGGAAAATGGGAAAAAATTTAATAAGATCTGAAGATTATGAGATAATAGCTTTGTATCAGAAGTAGTCTGGTTTTGATAACTCTATTTAGGTTATAGAAAATAATACCCTTAATGTGTATTTAGGTATGTAGCATTAGAGGAACATAGTGTCTACTCTCAAATGGTTTTAAAAAGCTAGATACATATTATATGTGCATCTTTTGTTTATATATGTGTGTATCAGTGTGACAGAATGGTAAAAGGAGAATGAAAAAGAAGAAGAAAAGGAGAGGGAGAGAAGGAGACGAAAAGGGAAAGAAAGTAAGATAGACTGGGGTGGGGAAACATATGTAGGACAAACTGAAATTTGGGAAATCTGGATGAAAGTTATACAGCATGTCACAGATTATTTTTCTTTTTACATTATTCTGTAAATGATCTCTTTAGACAATATCAAACTAAAATAGTTTCTAAATTGGCAATGGATGTAATAAAAATAGTGTTTTATTAAAACTAACTTCTTAACATTATTATGCATGCTAAGGGGTGCTACGCCTTCTAATAGCTGCAGAGTTAAAGGGTCTTTTCATTTTAGAAGCTAAGGAATGACTATGCATTAATTTTGTTCCAGGAACAAACTCAGATTTGCATGAAAAGATTCTTCAAAAGAAAATCTGTTGCTCTTTATTGTGAGAAGTCAGAAAGAGGCTCAGAATCCAAGGCTTTAGATCTTTTAATCTTTTTCTAATGCTGATGGTTTGCTTGATTGCTGCAGGACTCAACCATGTGGATAAGAGAATCAAGAATCAACTTTGTCCTTTGCTTTTTTCTGTTTATTATACTCTGCCTCAAAGGCTCTTCATTTCTATAGCTTCAAATATAACTTTCATGCTGCTTTTTCATTAGTTTCCATTTCTGTTTGTTCTATCAACTGGAAATTTGGATTTTCAGGTGTTACTGCAAAATTCAGGTCTCAAAACCTCTCATATTCCTTATTTCCAAGAGTTAACTACATTTTCCTGAATTGCACATGCTCAGGAACTTAGAATCATTATCAATTTATTCATCTCATTCTATTCCTATTAAAATCTTAATTGTCTTTCAAAAATTCATGTTAATTGTTACTCCATTAAAATGTAGTTCCTGGATCTACTAGGACAGAGTTAATCTCTGCTATTTCTGATAAAAAAATAGAATTTGGGTTGTACTACATTTACAATTCTTATTTGTTTTGCCTTGATTTATGTATGTGCTTTTGTCTTTTCTAAAGAAAATGGGCATATTGAAGAATTAAGGATATTTGCATGTCCTTCAACATTGAGCATAATACTTTATTTATTTCTAAATTACACAATTTCAAGAATTTATAAAAAATTTTTTACTATTATCAAATAATTTATTTTGATTTCCACAGGACTTAGTAAATGAGTGGAAATGAAAAGTCAAGGCTAGAGGGATAAAAGCACTTGTCCAAGACCATACAACAAAGGAGGCAAAGGAAATTCCTTCAATACAGTTAATGTGACAAAAGTTTGATATTATTTTCTGGTGCACTATGCCCTTTGTAAATAAAATAGATTGCTGACAGAGTGACTTAGTCCTATTTGTTCTCTATTATAGAAAAGAGCACTATATATATAAAATTTTAAATGATCTAACAATATAGGAAATAGATCTTTGTAACAGCCATACATTTAGGCTAAAAATATTTCTTAAATGTTAGCTGTCCAAACTAAAAAGTGGTGAATGCTACAAGTAAATATTAACCAAGTGTTTTCGATTATATAGGTATAAACTTAAAACTTACTTGCAGAAGCATCCCAAAATTTTATTGATCCATCTGCATGACTAGATAAAAAAATAGTATTAATTAAAGTACACCACATAAAAAAAAATCATCATGGCTCCAAATGTATAAAAATTTGAGTTACTGTTATTAATTTTTTTATTTTAAAATACAATTCTAATGAAAATCAATCAATCATTTCTAAACTCAAAACAATAGTTTATTTTTTAACTAATACACAAAAATCTAAAGGTTGAACAAAGAACAATTCCTTAGATTTTACTGTAAGACATTATATGTGATAGTAGTTTAAAATGGCCTATGGAAAATGAATGATATTCTTAAGTAAAATTGCTTCTGTTCAATGAAAAAGATAACAGATAATTTTCAAATTAGCGAAATATAAAAACAAATCCCTAAGCCTATTTAAAATTGAGTCATGACTCATTAATAAATAATGTAATGTCAATTCTGTAAAAATTCATTAACCTCATAGATTCCCAGCTTTAAGCCAATCCCCAAACACCAAAGGCCTAATATCATCTCTGATATAAGGATGCTGACTCAAAATAGATGGTGGGGTCCAGGGACGGAGGAGGTTCACCCAGTTGGAAAAGGGGAAGTTGGGGAAAGGGAGGGGGAATGGGAAATAAAGTAGAATGAATAGGACATAACTTTCCTATATTCATATATGAATACATGACCAGTGTAACTCCACATCATGTACAACCACAAAAATGAGAAGTTACATTCCATGTATGTATAACATGTCAAAATACATTCTACTGTCAGGTATAACTGAAAGAAAATAAAAAATTGTTATTGTACTGCTATTTTTTATTAATTTTTAAAAATGTATATGACAGTGGAATATATTATAATTCATATTACACATATAGAACACAATTTTTCATATTCTGGTTTATACCAAGTATACTCACACCAATTCATGTCTTCATACATGTACTTTGGATAATGATGACCATCACAATTTTTAAAAAAACTCATTTACAAAACAGGAGATATACCATTTTAACGTATAGAATACTTTCTAGTTCATTCAATGAAATCAGCATTATCCTCAAACTAAAACCAGGGGAAAATATTTACAAGAAAAGAAAATTAAACACCAATATCCCTCATAAACATAAGCATAAAAGGGGCCAGAGTTGTGGCTCAGTGGCAGAACGCTTGCCTAGCATGCATGAGGCATTGAGTTCAATCCCTGGTACCATATAAAAATAGACAAATAAAATAAAGGTAATGTGAAAAAAAACCATAGGCATAAAAACTGTCAACAAAATATTAGCAAAGTGCCAGGTATCATGGTGCATGCCTGTAATACCGGTTAGTGGGAAGGAAGCTGTGGCAGGAGGATTAGGAGTTTAAGAACCACCTGGACAATTTAGCATTACCATCTCAAAATAAAATAAAAAGAGCTGTGATAGGGTTAAGTGACAGAGTAACTAACTCTCATATGAGACCCTGGGTTCAAGTCCCAATACTAGAATATGAATATGCAAACTAAATGAAGTATTTACTATCTCTAAGGATTTGTCTATTTTTGTTATTTCATATACATTATGTGACTTTTTGTATATGGTTTCTTTTACTTAGTAAAAATGTTTTCAAAGTTCATGCATATTTCAGCATGAATTCAAAGTTCATTCCTTTTTATCTCTGAATTATATTCATTGCATATGAATATATGTATATGATATGCATTTTGTTTCTCCATTCATCAGTTGATGGGCATTTTTATTGTTTCCACCTTCTGACCACTAGTTAGAGCTGCTGTGAACATTCACATACAACTTTTGGCTTAAACAACTACTTTCAATTACACATGGTCCCCGATTTAAATTTTTTTGACTTTACAATGGCTCAAAGGTGACATGCACTTCATAGAAATCATACATTAAATTTTTAATTTTGATCTTTTCATGTGCTAGTGATAAAATACTCTTTCCCATTGCTGAGCAATGGCAGCTAGCTGCAGTTCCCCACTCAATCAAGAGAATAAACAACCAACACTCTCTTCTGTACTGTTTAGTAGGTTAGGTTTAATAAATGCATTTTTGATTTATAATATTTTCAATTTATGATGGGTTTATTAGGATACCTTTCCATAGTAAGTTAAGAAGCATCTATATTATGAATATTTACCTAAAAGTGGAATTGCTGGGTCAAAATGGGAATTCAATTCCACTTTTTGAGGAGATGTCAAATTGTTTTCTGTAGCAGATGTACCATTTTACATTCTCACTAGCAATGTATGAGCTTTCAAAAACTTGTTCTTTTCTAATTTATCATTGTGTTTTTAAAACCTATTAATTAAATTTATTTTTAACTGATAAATTTTATGGGTTACTTTGTGATGTTCTGATACAATTATACATTTTATAATGTTTAAATCAGGTAAATATATCTATGTCTTCAAATATCATTTCTTCATGGGAAAAATATTGAAAAGACTTTCTTCCATTCTCTGTAGTCATCCTACTGTGCAATAGCATACCAAAACTTTTTCTTCCACACAGTAAATTGGTACCCATTTATCAAGTACCTTTTCCTCCAATATTCTCTTCTCACCTCTGGTAACCACCATTTACTCCCAACATCTAGGAGATCAGCTTTTTAAAAAGATTCCTCATTGAATGAGAACATGTAATACTGTTTTTATGTGCACAGTTTATCTCACTTAACATATGATCTCTAGTTCTAACCATATTGTCACAAATAACAAGAATTCATAGTTTTTTAGGATATATGTACCACATTTTCTTTATCCATTCATCAGGTAATGAACATTTAGGTTGTTTTTCCATTTCTTAGTGACTGTGAATACTGCAACAAGGCACACAGGTGTGCAGATGTTGTTTCAACATACTGATTTCATTTCCTTGGATATGTACCATGTAAGGGGATTTTTGGATTATTTGATAGTCTATTTTTAAATTTTTGAGGCACTTCCATAGTGTTTTCCATAATGGATGTATTCATTTATATTCCCACAATAGTGTGCAAGGGTTCTCTTTTCTCTACATCCTTGCCATACTTGTTATCCCTTGTCTTTTAAATAATAGCCATTCATACTGGAGTGAGATATCATTGTGATTTTGATTTGTATTTCCCTGATGGCTAATATATTGAATATTTTTTCATATATATCTTGACCATTTGAATGTCTTCTTTGAGAAATGTCTGTTTATGTCTATTTCCATTTTTAAATCAGGCTATTTGCTTTTTTGCTATTGAGTTTTTGAAATTCCTTACATATTTTTTTTTTTTTTTTTTTTTTAATTTTTTATTGTGGGTTGTTCAAAACATTACAAATTTCTTGACATATCATATTCCACACTTTGATTCAAGTGGGTTATGAACTCCCACCTTCACCCCATACACAGCTTGCAGATTCACATCAGTTACACATCCATTGATTTACAAATTGCCATACTAGTGTCTGTTGTGCTCCGCTGCCTTTCCCATCATCCACCCTCCCCCCTCCCCACCTCTCCCCTCCCCTCCCCTCCTCTCTCTCTACCCCCTCCACTGTATAACCCTGAGGGTCTCCTTCCATTACCGTGCAATTTACCTTCTCTCTCCCTTTCCCTCCCACCTCTCATCCCTGTTAAATGTTAATCTTCTTCTCCTGTTCTTCGTCCCTACTCTGTTCATAGTTACTTTCCTTATATCAAAGAAGACATTTGGCATTTGTTTTTTAGGGATTGGCTAGCTTCACTTAGCATAATCTGCTCTAATGCCATCCATTTCCCTGTAAATTCTATGATTTTGTCATTTTTTAATGCAGAGTAATACTCCATTGTGTATAAATGCCACATTTTTTTTATCCATTCGTCTATTGAAGGGCATCTAGGTTGGTTCCACAGTCTTGCTATTGTGAACTGTGCTGCTATGAACATCGATGTAGCAGTGTCCCTGTAGCATGCTCTTTTTAGGTCTTTAGGGAATAGACCAAGAAGGGGAATAGCTGGGTCAAATGGTGGCTCCATTCCCAGCTTTCCAAGAAATCTCCATACTGCTTTCCAAATTGGCTGCACCAATCTGCAGTCCCACCAGCAATGTACAAGTGTACCCTTTTCCCCACATCCTCGCCAGCACTTGTTGTTGTTTGACTTCCTAATGGCTGCCAATCTTACTGGAGTGAGATGGTATCTTAGGGTGGTTTTGATTTGCATTTCTCTGACAGCTAGAGATGTTGAGCATTTTTTCATGTACTTGTTGATTGACTGTATGTCCTCCTCTGTGAAGTGTCTGTTCAGGTCCTTGGCCCATTTGTTGATTGGGTTGTTTGTTCTCTTATTGTCTAATTTTTTGAGTTCTTTGTATACTCTGGATATTAGGGCTCTATCTGAAGTGTGAGGAGTAAAGATTTGTTCCCAGGATGTAGGCTCCCTATTTACCTCTCTTATTGTTTCTTTTGCTGAGAAAAAACTTCTTAGTTTGAGTAAGTCCCATTTGTTGATTCTAGTTATTAACTTTTGTGCTATGGGTGTCCTATTGAGGAATTTGGAGCCCGACCCCACCGACTGTAGATCGTAGCCAACTTTTTCTTCTATCAGACGGCGCGTCTCTGATTTGATATCAAGTTCCTTGATCCATTTTGAATTCACTTTTGTGCATGGCGAGAGAAAGGGATTCAGTTTCATTTTGTTGCATATGGATTTCCAGTTTTCCCAGCACCATTTGTTGAAGATGCTATCCTTCCTCCATTGCATGCTTTTAGCCCCTTTATCAAATATAAGATAGTTGTAGTTTTGTGGATTGGTTTCTGTGTCCTCTATTCTGTACCATTGGTCCACACGCCTGTTTTGGTACCAGTACCATGCTGTTTTTGTTACTATTGCTCTGTAGTATAGTTTGAAGTCTGGTATCGCTATACCGCCTGATTCACACTTCCTGCTTAGCATTGTTTTTGCTATTCTGGGTCTTTTATTTTTCCATATGAATTTCATGATTGCTTTCTCTATTTCTACAAGAAATGCCATTGGGATTTTGATTGGCATTGCATTAAACCTATAGAGAACTTTTGGTAATATCG